GGCGGCGAATCATCACTTAATGTGAGAAAAGTAGAATTTGGTTGGCCGGCATTATGAATAGTTCCCGTTTCTGGGGTTGGTTTAACTTGGATTCCAGTATCCATATTGAAACCATCAGTGTATGCAATAAAAAGTGAATCATATGAAGTTGGATACACTATTCTGGGATGACCACAAAGAGATTGCGGTTTATTCATCACCTGTAGCATAAATTTTTGAGAATCCTTTGTATGGGTAGAATGAATAGACGGGCTAGAATCGCCTTTAATTATATAGTATGATTCTTCATTTTGAATCATTTTAGCCGGAAATCTGTTTAAAACAGTGAAAATGCAATTGTTGGGTTCTTCCCAAGTATAAGCAAAAGCGTCTAAGGATGTTGTTTCACATCCATTTGTAGACACTGGACAGGGCAAAGGAATGTTTTGCCAATTATTGACTGTTCCATCTTTGAGGTTAACAGTCAGAGTTACATTTTGCATGTAAGTTTCAAAAGTGTCCAATTTAATCCAAGAACGGCCATCACATTCGTTATGATGTTTGCCGTCAACTTTGCCAGCATGGGCATTAGTTACTGTTTTAACATTAAATTTGAAAGGAATATTTCCAATACTAGCATGGCCTAGGTTAAGATAGCCTCTGTCGGCGGCCGATTTACATTGATCGGCAGATAAATGGAGATCAGTAGTGATCATATTTTGTCGAGCGTCGATACCACTCGAATCAAAAGAATCGCAGAACCAACGCATTGATTGATGTTTGATTCGACACATTGTCGCATTTACTTTTGTGCGATAATGTCTCTTATATAGAGTAACATAAGCATGGGCTACTTTAATATTTTCTGGTTGGACTTTGCAAGGTGCTACTTTATTTAGAGAGAACATTTTGTTAGAAGTCATTAGTTGACAATCATAATGAGCAACCCGAAGATTATTTGCAGTATTTGCATATAATTGTTCTTTCGGATCAAATGCTGAGGTTTGATTCGAAAGTATTATTAGAGTTAAAAGACCAACCAAATAAATTTTTTGCAAAATTATTTTTTGGTGGTGAATGATAGCAAAAGAATTTTTAAAAGTACTCACTTTAAGCATTTCCTCGAGAGTGGTTAGAACAGGATCTTGGTCCATTAGTTCACCTTCCTCTATTTCACTATATGGATTTGTCATTTGGTGGATTTTTGTGATGGGAAATCTGATTTAGATTTCAATTTTTGTTGAGAAATTTAGCGATTTTATTTTTTAGAGAGAGAGAGGAGGTTTTGAATGAAAGATGTGGAATTGAGCAAGAATGAAAACAACTGTATATCAGTTAGTTTTTAAAGGCTGTTTTTGCTTTTTTGCAAATCTAAGCTCTGATTGGCCGTGTTATTCGGCGTCTTTCGGAAGTGACTCTTTTTAAGTCCTAATTCATTCGCTATTCGTTTTGTGGTTTTTTTCACTCTGGCTTAATGTCGTGGTTTTTCCACTTAGTTTTGATTTGTTGAGATCTAGCAGTGGAATGATAATCGTTCGTTTATGCTGATGTTAATTTTAACAACTGCATTCCCCTTCCTTATTGGAGGAGGAAAATGAAAAAAACATCTCTTCATAAAAGAGGACTAAAAGCAACATCATTTGTTTGCTTTCCGTTTAAACTTCATCTGTTATCACAGTTTTTTTAAAAATTTTTTGCTTTCTTGAAAAATGAGTTATATCGAGCCTGAAGACAATCTGGTGGACTTCCCCGAGAAGTTTTTGAACTTGCGGGATGAGTTAGATTTCAAACACGAAGCCTTGCTGGAGGACAAGGAAGTTGAGAGAAGGGTGGAAATCTACGACGGTTTAGTCGAAAAGGGTGCAAATCTGACGCCCATGGAATTCATGATATTCATGGACCGGAGTTACATCTTCAAGTATCCGGTCCTGAATACTGATGAACTGTTTGAGCTGGGCTCAATACAAAGTAGGTGCTTCGCGAAGAAACTTCGGAGCCCATGGAGTGGAAACCATGTGGTTTCCCAAGAGACAATGGACTTTTTGTCCATACTCTTTGGAGAGGATGTAAGTTTGTTTTACAATACACCAAATTTTAAAAATAATAATAAAATTTTTTTTTTTTTTTTAAGTGGCATGGCAACATAGAAATACTATATAAATTTGTTTTAGTTTCAAGAAGAATTCTTCAAAAAGCCTGTGGCAGAGGCAGAGTTTAGACGAAAAATAGAGCTTGATATTATGTTGGAGGAGATATATCAAGCTTGGTGGCGGCCTTACTCAGCGCTGCAGTTTGCAGTGAGGAGCCTGAGTAGGACCGCGGAAAACTCGTTGGAAAAGATGGCGGCAGTCAAACTAGTGAAATCGTACACAGATATTAAATCTTGTATTTATAAAAGTTATTTTTAAATTTTTTTATTAACATGTTATTTTTGGTGTTTTGTGTTTTTATTACAAACGAAATATTTATAAAGTAGAAAAGAAAAAAAAGAAAGAAATGGCCAATAAAAAGAATGAAAAAAAATATTTAGTTTGGCCAAATAAATGGTTTAGTGTTTTTATTTCTTTTTAAATTTGCCAATTATACTGGATGGAATTGTAGTTCCATAAAAGTTTGTAGGACGATTTGTCCGTTTAGGCATATAGGTATCAGCCATATTAGATTTAGCTTAAAACTTAGAAAGAAAGATAGAAAGTTTTATAAATTTATTTAGAAAACTTAAATTTCCGATTTGGAAATTTATTACTTCTCTTTATTTGTAAGAGAAATTTCAACAATTCTCCTGTTTGAGAATTGGATTCTTTGCTTTTTATCTCTTTTTGAGACTTTAGCAATTTTAGCGAATTTTTAGAAGGTGAGCCTCACTGGTCGCACCAATTTATTACGCTAGCAATACTATTTACGTCGGACAAAACGCTTGCTAGGAATAAAGGGTCCTTTCTACTTTCTATCTTAAAAAGTAAATCTGAAATTCGCTGAGAAATATTTTATTTAAAAAAAGAAGTTAGTATGAATTTACAGCAAGTTGCCTTTTGACTCAATATTTATTTTTTACGGAGATATTATTCTCTGAGATTGAATATTATTTTTGAGAAGGGTTGGGGTGGTTGAGGAGAGTGGTGGTGGTGGTAGAAGAGAAGTTGTTGGAATGAATTCCCGTAGTTTTGAGCTTCTATTTATACTCAGATGGGGAAATCACGCCACTTTTCGTATCAAATGAGAAGTTTCTTTTAACTTCGTATTCTTTATTCGTACATTCGTATTTTACGAGAAGAAGGTTTCGTATGCTCGTACTTTACGAGAGGAATCGTTATTATTCGTATTGAATGAGAATAGTCGTTTCAATTCTCAATGCTTAAAACGTTATACGAATTATTCCAATAGCATTTCCCTTCCTTTTGCAAGGGAATAAAAACATATTTCTTTGGTGGTGGCGGCGGCGTCACATTTTGTGAACGCAATAAAATAATTCATGTTTCTGTTTCTATTTGAAATCAGAACAGCAACCCTTGGCAGGTTTCGTTTGAAATCTTTAGGATGCCCTCTCAAACCTGCATTAATCATAAATTACTGAACTTAATTTCGTACATAAGTTTGTTTTGCAAACAATTTAATATAATTATTATTTTCGAGAAACTATTAATTTTTTTTTCTGCATACTGAATTACGTACGACTGGCGGGTTTCGTAATGATATGAGGTTCTGCCTTGAACGACTTGTCGTGGTGATGAAAAACCACGCAAAATACACTTTCTTTGCTTGGAACGATAATCAAAGAATTTGAATAAATGTAAGACAATTGCTTCAAATCAAAATGTGATTCAAATATTCCATCATGCTTAACTTGGACATACGTTTCAAACAGTAGCGTGCCTGGGGGAAGGGGCGACCGCTCCCTTCCCCCCCCCCCTCAGTTTCGGTTACCAAATTTTTCCAAAGGTCCCCCCCCCCCTGGTATAACTTTACGCCATCCATTTTTGGCTGAACAACCTCAAAATTTTTCTAAAGGTGCCTTAGGCGCCAATATGACTTAGTTTGAGGGAGAGCGCGCGCCAAAAAAACGCAATTTTTTGGTCAAAATTTTCCAAAAAAAGTGCCTAAAACCGCCTTTTTTAGCCTGTTTTTAAAAAATGTCGGTCGCAAAAATGAAAGGAAGTTTTTCCAGCTTCAATTTATGCAACATTTCGGGAGTCAAGTCAAGAAGCGATGCTTGATTTTGAACTAGTAATGGCAATCTCCTAGACTGAGTTTTTTAAGATGAAGTTTTTGCTCAAACCATTGAAAATGGGAAGAAAAAATTGTATTCGGGTATGTTTTATTTTTTTTTCACGCAAAATCAGGTTCTACAGATATTAATCGGAATAGTACGAGTAATATATTATAGAAGAGCTTTTTCAGTCCTGATTCGATTGACATTTAAAAAACCCTAATTTTGAACTCGTAAATTTGAATTGTTTATTTTTGAACCAGTAAAGTGATCTTGTAGCTTGGAAACTGGTCACTTAGACTGAAAAGCTTGTTATCACAAAAAGCTTCCTTTGGCGTTTCTTAAAAATAATTGCATGTAGTTCTTAAACAGGGGCACAACAGCGGTTCGCCGTGATGAGCTGTACAGCTCTTGTGTTGGTCCTTTCCCCCGTGGATAAATGATCTTAATTAATAATTAATAATTCTTTGGCAATAAAAGTTTTCTTTGGAAATATTTTGAACGTTTTTTTCTTAAATGTTTCATCATTTTTGTTATTCATTTTTTTACTACAACGGTTGACAATTTTGTCTCATATACTAACTTTTTTAAACCTGTTTGTTTAGTTCTCTCATTACACCACGTATAAGAAACGACACTAATTTGAAGAAAAAACAGAAAACTCATTTTTGTAGTTTTTTTTTATCAATGCGTTCGGATCATTCTGTGCTACTTGCACAGCAACCGACTAGTCGTGTTTATTAAATTGATTTTGTTGTTTGGGCCTATATTATAAACAATTTATTGTATATTACATAATCTGAAATTTTTACAGGTTGAGCACTGGCCCAGAGGTGATTACGGACAGTTTTTCTCGGGCGACTCCTACATCGTTATGAACACTTACAAGAACCCAGGAGAGGAAGACTTCGAGTTTGACCTGCACTTCTGGATCGGAGAAGACAGTTCGCAAGACGAATACGGAACAGCTGCTTACAAGACGGTGGAGCTGGACACCCTTCTGGACGACAAGCCAGTGCAACATCGCGAAGTGATGAACAATGAGTCGGAACTGTTCAAGGGATACTTTCCTTCTTTGACATATTTGAGCGGAGGAGTAAAGAGTGGATTCAAACACGTCGAGAAGAAAGTTGTCGAGCCAAGGTTAAAGTTTTCTTAAACCCTAACTTAAGCACTTTATTTTTTGCGCATCAAAAAGACGTACATAGATGTCGGACTACCTTAAGTGCATTTTTCTTCAGTATAAAAAATGTTTTTTTTTGCGTCTAGTCTTTGTTCTAGTCAATCAACCTCGATTGATCCATTGTTTTATCTACAATGTTCTGCTAAGGAGCGTTTCAAGCTCTAGTTAAAAAACAGAAAAAGTCCTAATTTAGGTATTTTTTTTCATTAAACAGGGATTTTTACAATCCACGGTCACTCTAGTCGCTGTTAGTTGAAAGACAACTGACAAAACTGATTGCAGCTTCACAGGTTGAAAGTTTAAATGAGTTTATTTATTTTTTTTTTTTTTATTTAGACTGTTTCACTTCCGAAGCATGGACCGCAAACAAGGCTCCAGAAAAAAGGAAGTGACCATGCGACAAATTGGATTGAACAGCAAAAACCTAGACAGTGGCGATGTGTTCATTCTGGACACAGACCAGACCATTTTCCAGTGGAACGGAAGCGGATCTGATCAGAACGAACGATTCGAGGCCAGCAAATATGTCCGAGAATTGTGTGAGCAGCGCAACGGGAAGCCGAAAAAAGTCGTGCTTGATGATCCTGACGTCGACGAAGACTTCATGGCGTTCTTCAGCGACGAGGCCGTAATTGACGAACGATACGAGCCCGAAGATGTCGCGACTCATGTCGTCAAACGATTGAGTGATGCTAGCGGAGAATTGAAAATTGACGATGTTGCAGTTGCCGACGGCAAGGTCACTCCGAGTCTTCTGGACAGTAACGATGTCTTTATTGTGGACAAGCGTGGTGGTCCCTGTTATGTCTGGTTCGGCAAAGGAGCGTCTGCAGCTGAAGCCAGAAACTGGAGTATGTACGCTCATAACTACTTGGTTGATGCACCCAATAAAACAAAGCATGTTCAAACAGTTAAGGAAGGCAAGGAGCCCGCTGGATTCTTCGATTGATCAATAAGAACTATGGGTGCTTGGATCTAAACGAACATTTGCATTCCGTGGAAAAATCTTGTCATCTTACACCCTTTTAGCTTTCGGTGTTGAAATCAATTTGAAAACTGATGTGAACTAAATCTGTAAATTAATTATTAACATGAAGTGCAAAAATATTCATTAAAAAATATGATTATATTGATACGTTTTCGATACGAGCAATGAGTCATTACGTCGCTGAGTCATTACGTCGTCGTCATAAAAAGCACCATGAGAAACTAACAGCTAAAGCTCGTAAAGCATTCAACCATTAGAGTGATTTTTCGGCTAAGATTTGATTCGGTTTTGAGTTTGATGAGTCTGTGTAAATATCGTCGTCGCTTAAGTTTCCGGTTGTTTTCAGACGGTTATTCTGAATCACTTGGATCTCGACAGCGGATTCCGCCTGCAATTGTTGGCTGTCTTTGTCTGATTTGGTTGTAGTTGAAATTGGCAAGCATTGAGAGCAAAAAGATTTCACCTAAATGAAATAAGAACTTAAGAGAACAATCTGCAATCTACAATTAATTCTTTGAATGAAACCGCAATTATCCTATTGAGAGAAATGTCGTAATTTCTTAAGTGTGAAACTGGGTTTAAGCTCTCTAGGTTAGATATTTTGATCAACTACAACAAAGAATAACATCATGAGCAAAGCGAACTTGATAATTTGAAATTTATAAAAAAAATTCCGTCAAAAATCGATTCCGGTTGAAAAACAATTTTCTCTAACGCTCATAGCAAAAAATTCAAAAAAATCTTTGTTTATTTGATGGAGTTTTTCGTGAATTAAAACGAAACAGTACCTCAGTGCGTTTTATTTCATGAGTTCAACAAATATGTAGCTCCGCATTCAAATTTTACAAAACCCGACAGCTAAAATTGAAACACAACTATGAAAACTTCTGCCTCTTAAGTGTAATCAAAATGACTGCCCGTATCAAGGCGAAGCCCTGAATTTTGCGACGGCCCTTTGCAAAGATGGAAATGAGCTTTAATTTACAGTCAATAAACATAAACTGCATTTGGTTTTAAAATTTCTTCACACAATATAGCCACAAAAGGCAAAATTTTTGTTCGGTTTGAAAACAATATGATGAATTCAAATTTTTTTAAACACAATGTTCAGATCTTTTTGTAAGCTTCACTTCAATTTGAAAAAAATGAACGCAGATTAATCTTATTATCTCCAGTCGGCAGTTTCGAACTCCATAAGTTTCATAAGAGTGATTGCGGGTGAAAAATGAAAAAACTTCAGACTTTAAGACTTCGGACTTTTTTTGTTTTGCAGACTTTAAAAAATATCCCTCATAACGAGGATAAATTGTGCATTTTGTGAATTGTACGCGGATTCCGCAACAAGGACGCTCACTTTGTGCTTCTTCTGTTCTTTCATTTTTTTGATCGTTTCGACACAATTTAAACTTTTTAAAGACTTGTCCCTGGAATCCAGGAACATACAGACACAAAAGTGTGCGCCTATCCAGTGCACAGTTAGGCCTCGTAATGCTCAAATATTGCTATTTTCAGAGAAGAAACATAGTAGACAAAAAACTTAGCCGAAGTATGATTATTGAAATTGAAAAAATGGACAGCCGGTTACTGTGCAAGTAGCACAAAATGTTCCGACAATAACCCTAGAAAATATGCAATAAAATTTTTTCAAATTATTGTCGTTTTTTTTCCGGCGTGATATGGTGAAAAGAGCTGAAAATAACTGGAGATTAGGTATATTCGACAGTCATAATAAACTAAGAAAATTGAAAAACCGTTTTCCAGAAAAGTTACGTCAAAAACCAAAAAAAAATTTTAAAAAATATCGATAATTTTTTCAAGTTTTGCAGTATTTTGAATTTTTGATTTTTTGATTGCAAAAAAAGCTAAAATACTCATTTTTAGTTAACTTTTTTCAATAAAAATTTTGTTTCTACGTTTTAAATAAGCTATTTTTAATCTTTTGAGCAATCATATTAAGACTGTTCAGTCGCTTTATTCGCTCGAAATAAGACGAAAAATCAAAAATTTCAAACCAGTTTTTCTCAACACTAGGAATTTCTTTTGAATTTTTAAATGTGATTGGAATCACGATTGTGAGTACTTAAATGTGTTATAGCACTCACTCTGTCCGATGATCATTGTGGTACCTGATTTTGCGTGAAAAAAAAACTACAGCACACCCGAATTAAAAGTTCCTCCCCATTTTCAATGTTCGGCAATTAAGTGGTTCAAAGTTTGAAATTGTCCACAAAAAATCATAAAATTAAAGTGGTTTGGAGCTTGAATTTTTCCAAAAAAAACACAAATTAAGTTGCTTAAAGCTTGTGTGGTTTAATTAAGTGGTTTAAAGCCAAAAACCCCAAATAGAAACATTTCGTCATTTTTTTCCAATATGGGAAGAATAAAAACGGACAAAAGATTTATTTCAGCTTTATTATTCAAATTAACGCTTACGCTAAACTTCAAAATGTTATTGTGCTTTTAAAGACAATGATGTGAACGTTTTGCCTCTTTGAAGTTATCTAGACAAAGGTTTTGGAAAAAGTCAACTTTTTTCGAAACACTCAAAAATGTTTTTTCAACTGCACATTTTTGAATATCCAACTTCTCATTCATGTATTTTTTTGATAAGTTACTTTTAATGGTTTACAATTACTTGATTTTTCGGCTATTTTAATTTTTGTTCCAAGATCCACTTTCCCAAGAAGAATTAATTACAATTTTTCATCAAAAAGGATGATATGTTTACCCTAGTCAACTGAATTTAATTGTGGAAGTTTTTGAGTGCTGTCTAAATTTTTTTTGCTGAAATAATTGTTGATTCCGCGTTGAAAACCATAGATGAACTGATATAAAGTCCACCTTATTCCCAAAAGTGGCCATCAATCAAGTTTTTAAAATCCGTTGTATGTTTACGAATAACGATTGCATGTGATAGATATATCAACTGGTTGATATCTTCAATTGGGTATTCAAAAAATTCCAAAGTTTGGTCAAGAAATTTAGAGGCAGTTATTCGAACCGGATTTTATAATTTCATTTTGATTATCAAAACTTTATAAGTGATATACCAATTATTAAGATGCAGAATTTTTTATTTATCAGATTATTGAGAAAAAATAGAAGCCGTAGCTTTTCCTGTGATTTAGTGGTACAAGGAAAGTACTTTTTTTTGCAACTGCAAAATTTCTTTGATACTGCCAAATTTTTTTAGAATCAGTTTCGACTCAATTGTAATAAATTTATTTCAATAGTTTTTTGTTTTGGTTTGGGAACAGTGAACATTTCCTATAAAACATATTAATTACTCCACATTCTCAGTTTCGAAACAATTGTTTTAAAATATTTTGAGGACATTATTGTTGAAAAAAAAACTTTTTTTCTTTTCAACTTCCAATTTGCCAGTGAACTCGTTCCGCACTTTCAATTAGAGTTGAACTGATAGATAACAGTTTCAAAACGATGAGTTTAAACTTAATTTTTTTGACGTTCTTAGCATTTTTTATCGTTCTAAAAATCATTGGCCAGAAAAAAACGTGTTTTATGTTGAGCTCAGTCTAGCAAAATCATTCAGAATCTAATCAACTCCACGATTTGGAAATCCGACTGCACTCCGAAGAGCAAAATTTTTTAAAAGAAAATAATAGTTCAAACGAAGGTTATTTTAATTTTTGCAGCTCTCCCAGAACAACTGAAAGGCATCCTGTTGTGCACCGCAGTAGAGTTTTTGAAAAATATATCACAAAAATTATGTTTTAGGGCTCACTTTGATTTTTCAAACAAAAAACTGCAGTGTTTGGCAAGCTCTACTTCAATAGTAGTTTAAATTGGCTCCGAAGGCAACTAATCCCTGATTAGTTAGTAAAATGTACGCATACTCTCCCTAAGTTTGCCCTTCAAATCAGGTATTACCTTATTGTTCAAATTTCGATTTATAACCTTTTTTATGCCATCAAAAACTATGATTGTGTTCAAATGTAGGGCAGGCAAAAGGGAGCAAGTGGGAACACTATTAAAAAAGTTGGTCTGAGCTAGACCAATGTTTCCTAAATTTATCCCTTTTAACAATCCTTAGTGCTTAAAAGTAGAAACATATTCAAACGGGACTATAAATTTCAGCTCATAATTTCAGCTCTTAATCTTGTGCTCACTCATCCTCCATAACTGGGTTGATTTTACTGCAAACTAAAACCAGACAGAACCAGTTAAACATTCTTGGAATCTTTTGGACTAGTTATAGCTCCTCAGCGGTTAGTTTTGACAGTAAAAGTACGTTTTTGAAGGGATGATAAAATTTCTCTGAAGTGAAAATTGTTTGAAAACTGAACAAAGAGACAGTTGAAACCAATATTTAGTCAAATGGTCCCCATTACCTAGTCATATTATTCCATTAAATGATTCAAAAACTTCAATAAGGCTTTGAAAATGTAAATTGGGCCTATTTTTTATTGATGTTTTGAGATCACTTGCATTGATTTTCGCGCAACTGTTTTTTCCATGAAAAAAACTGGGGGAAAATTGGCTAAATAAGAACAAATTTCTTTAATTCTGTTGGACTTTTCCCTGGAAAGAGAATTAAGCAAGTTTTTTTAACCTTACGACCTAATTGTATCTACACACAAAGATGAGAGTAAAAAATATAGTCGAAGTATAAACTAAACGAAAATGCGCGGATTATGTATGCCAGTCGATGAATTTGAGGGTTTGAAGTTAACAAAATTTGACACATTTAACTTTTTTCCAATATCTCACTTTCCAAAGGAAATTCCGTTAGCGTTTTTCATCAAAAAAGATGATAGGCTTATTCTAATAAACGAAATTTATTTCTGTAAGTTTTTGAGCGCGATAAGATTTTTTTGCTGAAACAATTCTTGATTCCGCAATGAAAACATAGATGAATTTATATAGAGCACGCGTGACTTAATGCCAACTAAAAAAGTTGCTTAAGTCTATAATATGTCACAAATTACGATTGCATGAGATAGGAATATCAATGAGTTCAGGGGCGGATCTAGGATTTTCTCGAGGGGGGGGGCGGATTTTCAAAAAATTTTCGAAAATTTTGACGACCTTTTTTTTTTTTTAGGTCGACCAAATTGATTTTTCGAACTCTCCCAAAGCACGGTTTTGTCCCTATTTTGGCCAAATTTTTTGCGCCGCAGGCAAATTTTTGAAAAAACAGGTCAAAAAAGGCGTTTTTAGGCACTTTTTGAAAAATTTTGACGAAAAAAATCGCGTTTTTTTGGCGCGCGCTCCCCCTCAAAACTAGTATATATTGGCGCCAAAGGCGCCTTTAGAAAAATTTTAGGATCGGTCGGTACAAAATTGATTTCTTAAAAAGTACCAAAGGGGGGACCCTTTGGGTCGGCAGAGTGTCGAATCCCTGAGGAGAGGGCGTCCGCCCCCCCCTAAATCCGCCCCTGAATGAGTTGATATCTTCAATGGGTTTTCAAAAAGTTTTTCTTGGAAGTTGAAACACTAAAT